GAATTCCTAGGGGAAAGAGAAATGCTTACCTACCATATTTTCATTTCGAGACAAACGAATCTCCAGCATCTTTATGTACCTCCACTATCTTGCACACATTGATAGGGGAAGAATTTTGAGATAGTGTTTGAACAGAAATTAATTGGAAGCGAAGAAGCAATGTTCAGTAAAGCAAAATACTCAACATTCCTTACGTTTCTTCTTAAAACCACAAACGTTTCCTTCTTCCTGTATCTCCCGTTACCAGGTCCTGAGGTGGTGTCCCTCAGCCCTTTGACTCTCATGCCTGCTTGTGCCCACTTCGATTTCTCTAGCAAAGGGCTGCAGACATGACCCTAACCCTGCCATTGATACTCTGCCATTTAAGAGGTGGTACAGAATAACTACGGACTGACCTGTGAGAAAGGTAGGCCAGTCACTTGACATCCCTCAGTTGAGCACCATCGTGTTTTATTTTCAATAGTACAATGTATACGCATCAGGTTTCACTTAGAAAGGAGGCCCTCAGTCTAGAGCCTCTGCATTTCGTCTTTGAATGCATGGTACATATTTGTTAGTGTGGCGATTCAGGCTGCCTCCCCTTATACCAGTGATGACAACCAGGAGGGGCAGGGGAATGAGGCTTGCCATTTATATTCAGTCAGTCTTTATCCCCCAACTCACCTCTCTTGCCTGGAAGGCTCAAGGGAGGTGTGAGAAGGCTTCCCAGTGATGTCTACCATAACAGTACTGCCAACTTCGAGAGATGGAAGATCAGGAGTTGGACCCCCAAAAGTCATGAGATTTTAATAAGAGGATATTGTGGTTTTTAGGTCAGTCTCAATTTTTGATCTCCCGCTGCCCATCCCCAGGGTGTCTGCATGGGACGATTAGTGTCACCCACTCTCCCACATGTACTGGATAAGGTGATTTTGACCCCCTGCTGCAGGAGCTCTCAGCCCCACATGTGCCTGTCTCCTGCCCGGCAATTAATCCTGTCTTTCAGTGCCCCATCAGTTCTGTCCCCATCAAATGCCCCTCAATTCAGCTCTGCCTCAGTTCGGTCCTCCAGCCCCCATCAGTTCAGCCCCCTACTCCATCGATCCCTACCACCCTCCCAGCACTCACCCATCTGCTCAGAACCCATCATCAATACATCACCCCCACACCCCAACAGCCCTCACCCTCCTCACTTCAGCCCCCCTGCAGTCCCCAGGCCATAGCTTCAGCCCTCCCAGCCTCACCTCTGCTCCTTAGGGTTCTTCACTCTCCAGGCCTGTGGCAGCTACAGGGGGGTCCCGCTCCCACTTCCCAGGCTGACAGTTGGAGCCCCATGGACTGAATAAAATCCTCAGCTTTGAGAGTTCTTTCGCAAGATCCTGAGTGAGGCTTAAATTTTACTCAGAAATCACATCTCACGATCAATTTGTGAGAGTTGGCATGTCTGCTAAAGTGACCCTGAAGGCTCAGCCAAAGGTTCTACTTGAGGAGGCCTTTAACACCCTACCATAAGGATTGCCCATGATGGGAGAGCCCTGTGACTCTCATCTACCCTCCTACAGAGGAGCTTCAAGGCACGTTCGATATGGCATAAAAAAATCTAAGTCTTGTGCTGATAAGGAGTTTCACACAGCCTGCCATTGTTATCATTCCACAACAACCTCTGCTCCTAGTTAAATTCCTAGTCCCTGTCCTCTGACCAGGAAAACACTTAGCTCTTTCAAGTTGATTGGGCAGAACGTAAGCGTGTCATTGCAGACTCATTGGTAGGCTTAGAGATTGTGGCTTGAGATGAGTGCAATGGACATTTGTCCTCGTGGTGACAATAGGAGAAACCCTATATCCTTAGCGTTAAAGGATATACTTTAATAACAGCCCCAAACTCCACGGCAACACAAGTGTAAGCTAGAGAGGTTTGACTCATTACTATGGAACACACCAGTGGATTTTTCTTCTTAGAGACAAGCAACAGGGTCATTTCTGAACTAGGTTTCTAGGAGTCTTGGAAAGGGCCTCATGCTCAGGGCCGGCTCTGGCTTTTTTGCCGGGGGGGGGCGGCCGGAGCCCCTGGGGGAGGGCGGCGAGCCCCGGCGGCGGCTCCGGTCTCCCCCCCGGCGGCCAGAGCGCCGGGGGCAGGGCCGCGAGCCCCGGCGGGTGCTCGGCTCTCCCCCCAGGCGGCCAGAGCGCCGGGGGCAGGGCGGCGAGAGGGCGGCGAGCCCCGGCTGGGGCTCGGCTCGGCTCTCCCCCCGGCAGCCAGAGCGCCGCGCTGCCCCCCTCCAGGTGCCGCCCCAAGCACCAGCTTGGGTGCTTGGTGCCTGGAGCCGGCCCTGAGCAGACCACAGATCTCCTCAGCCAACTTTTGTATGACTCTTGGGTGCAAGTTATCTGGGTCTGCTGATTTAACATTTGTTATCCCTCATAGATGCTCTTTAACAACCTCCTTAATGACTAATAAATGAACATATTTTGCCATCCTCATGTGATACAAGTGCATCATCCTACTTCTTTCCTAATAAGAACAGAAATGTTTATTATTAAATACTTCTGCCTTTTCAGTATCAACTTGTTTACCTTCTCTGTCTAGCAATGGGCCTAACCCATTGTTAAAATATTTTTTGTTCCTGATATATAGGAGTGATAGGACTAGGGGTCAGTGGGACTATCACCATCACAATGGAAATATTGTATGGAGTCTATTCCCATGCATACTTGTGCACACTGTGTGGGTGGGGGGAGGGCAGAAGTGAGAGCAGGACCTAGAGGAGCTGGAGTGGCCACTGCGGAGGGGATGAGACTGGGGAGCAGGTTGGTAGTGGTCCCAGTGGTTCCTCTCCTAGCCTGGGCTGGCTACTCCCTTCCCTGAGTCTCAGTAACTCCCTTATTCCCCATCCTATCTCTCTGCTCCCCCCCGCCCCCCACATTCACAGCAAGCTTCCCTGTCTCTCCCAGATATACTTAAAACTCTTGTTCTAATTGCCCTTAACCCTGCCAGCCATGGAGTTTTCCCTGGGGTCTTTAGTCTTGAGCTTATATTGAGACGTTAATTCCTGCTGTGAAGCTGGGTTTGTATATGGAACTGGAAAAATCATAAAGACATACATAGACTTCTTTCTAATAACCTATATTTAGTTTTCAGAACCTTTGTCCTAGCTATAATTCCTATATCATTGGCACCAATTTGTGCAACCAAAGACTTCCTCATTTCAGCCTTGTGAGGGCTGCCACAATCACACCAGCTGAGCAAGTTACCTTATTCTCACAGTCATCGCATATTCTATCATCAGAAATGTACCAAGTTCAGTAACACTACAGCCTGTCTATTTAGCACCTTTGGAATGCCTTGGTCTGGGCACACTGATCCTCCTCTTCTGCCACTACTGAAGGACTAGTTTTTTGTAATGGATAGTGTCCCTTTGTCCCTCTTTGGTCACCTCTGTCAGGGTATTGGCTTCCTCAGTTGGAAAACTGATGCAGGTAGTTCTGAGGTGGGCTTACTGTACTATATTCCTATAAGCCACATCATTATTTTTTCCCCTTCCTCAGGTTGTACCTTTGGCACTCTGCAACCTACTAGGTATACCAACCCCTACAGTCTAAAGAGCTGCTGGCCTTCTGACTAGAGGGTTTCCTGGCTTGTCAGTTAGCTTGCTACTTTCCCTACACTTTACTGAGAGCAAAGCAAACTATTTATTTATTTATTTTAATTCCCACCTCTATTACTCACTGTTCTCTGTTTCTCCACTGGGATGTAATTCAGCTATTTAATTCAATGAGTCCCTAGCTCCCACATACTCGCTCTTCTGCTTAATTATTACATATCCCTGTGTTTCGAGGAATGCTCTTCTGTTTTCAGTCAGGGAAGGGCAGCAGTTTGACAGGGAGATTTACTGATAAGTAGGAAAGCTTAATATTTTTGCTCCAGTGGAGACCGATAACATGCCTGGGGTCTACATTTTTACACGCTACACTTTACACACAAGCTGTAAGCGCTGGGTTTCTCGTGTTGTTTGTAAGTGGAAGTGAAAAGCTCAGGGTCTTAAACTTATGGGAGCAATGGAGGCTTTTCCCTTAGGTGGGAGGTGGGGAAGGAAGAAGCGGGCTTGGGAGAGCACCCAACCCTTTTGGCGAGGTGTTGTCAGCGCTGTTACGGGCAGGGCGGCGACACTTCCCAGCTCGCCAGATGTTTATACCACGCTCATCCCTGTAAGAAGCCAGAAAAGCTTAAATCGCAGCACAGCCCCCGGCGCGCCGAGCACCTCCGCCTCAGCCCTGCGGGCAGGAGCCGCTCCCCGCTGCGTTGCTGGGAGCCCAGTAACACCCCCTCGCTCAGGGGCTCCGTGGCCCTGGGCTGAGAAGAGCCACTGAGCCAGCGGGGGGAGGGGAAGAGTCTTGCCCCGGGTCCTGTACCCCAGGGAAGAGGAGGAGGCTCCCTCAGCTCCGCCCGGGCGCGGGGCGCTGCCTGTCCCGACTCCGGGCTGCTGCCTTCTCGGCCCGGGCGGGGCCCCACGGGCACGGAGCTCCGGCCCGCAAGGCGACACGGATGTGCCCGCCCCTCCCCGGCCTCGCGTCGCTCCGCCTCCGCCCGCGCGCGGAGCCCCGGGCTAGGAAAGGGCGGAGGGAGACGGTCCCCGCTGTGGGGCCCAGGCGGCTGCCGCTGCGCCTCTAGCTCCACGATCTGGGGCTGAGGGGGAAGGGGCGGAGCGGAGTCAGTTAGCCAATGAGCTGGGCGGACGGAAAGGCGGGGCGGGGCGATCGCGATCACCGCCCAATGGGGAACGGGGAGGGGTCGCGTGCAGAGCTGGGAGAGTCGCAGGCAGCCGAAGGCTGGAGTCCGGGCTCGGGCAGCGAGCGGGGTAGAGCCAACCGCCGCACTTACTGCGCCAGGACTCGCCGCAGCCTCCCAGCGCGCCCCCGCACGGAGCTGAGTGAGCGAGGAGCCGGTGGGGCAGGGGGAGCCGCGGAGCCCGCAGGGGGCAGGCGAGGCACCGACGGACGGACGCAGCCTCCCGGAGGGGAGCGGGCGGAGCCGCCGCCGCTTGGAGCAGAAGTTTGGCTGGCGCCGCAGAGAGGAAACTTTTCTCTGGGGGCCGGAGGCGGGGGCGGCGGACAGGAGCCGACACTGGGCTGGTTCGGGCCGGACTCTGGGATCCGTGACCTAGCGCGGGGGCTTCTGCGCGGCTCCCCCGGGCCGGGCCGGGCTGCGGCGGCCGGGATGTACCTGGCAGCTGTCTTGGCGGGGAGGAGGCGCCCGGGCGGCGGCGGCTGGCACCTGGGGGCGGGGTGGCTGCTCCTGGTGCTGCTGGGCGAGTCTGGAACCCGGGCGCTCGTCTGCCTCCCCTGCGACGAGTCCAAGTGCGAGGAGCCCAAGAGCTGCCCCGGCAGCATCGTGCTGGGCATCTGCGGCTGCTGTTTCATGTGCGCCCGGCAGCGCAACGAGAGCTGCGGGGGCGTCTACGGGCTGCACGGAGCCTGCGACCGCGGGCTTCGCTGTGTCATCCGCCCCCCGCTCAACGGGGACTCCATCACCGAGTACGAAGTGGGCGTCTGCGAAGGTAACAACAGCGCGACCCCTTCCCTGCTCCTGTCAGGGCTGCCCTCGCCCCGCCGCCAGGCTCGCCCTGCCCGGTGCCTCCCCGTTTCCCTCTCTGCGAAGTTTTAGCTCCTTTGCCTAGAGCCGAGGGTCGCTGCGGCCCCCTCTCGTTCGCCAGCTAAAGGGCTGGGCAAAGGGGTCCCGTCGCCTTGTGACTGGATTGTTTCCTCCCAACCCGTCCAATGCAGAGTCTGTGTGAGCTGCGGGGGTTTTAAATGCGAATTGCTTTGAATAGTAACATGTCTATCTGCTAGGTGTCAGGGCGGGCGGGGGGACGACGAGCATGTAAGGCTGGCTGCTGGGACCTTGTTCTTGATGGAGTTTGCCTGGGTTTTTCTGCTCCTCTTCTCTTCCTCCCCCCCCCCCCCCCCCCCCCCCCCCCAAATCTCCGTGCAGTTCGAAAGGGAGCAACACATGATTATTTCCCAACCCTTCCACTGATCATGGGCAGGTGCCCTCTTTTATATTTATTTGCAGCTCTGAAGAGTTGTTACTTATTCCTGCTCCTGCGTTTGTCTAAACATCAATTGCGATTGTTTAAATTTGAATGAGGATTTCACTAATTGTTTTGGTGGGGCACCGAGACCGAGCTGTTCCCTCCTGGCAGCGTTTCGTATCAGGTAGTAGCCTAGGCTTTCTCTTTCTGTTAGCCTTGTTGCTTTCTTCGACATTAGTAATGGTTCTGCTCCTGCCAGCCATGCCGTTTCTTACGTGAGACTGTCTGCTTCTCGCAATCGGGAGAAGAAAATTAGACTAGTAGTAATCGTGTTGTGGTAGCAACTAACTTTTTTGCCTTCACTCTGACTTTCGGACAGGATTTAACTGAATGTTGCTGCTGCTGAGAAAAACCCATGTTTTGAAACGTTGACTTAAGTTTGGTAGTTGTGAAGTAGTTTGTTATAAATTCCAAAACTGTTGCAATCTCGAATCCCTGTTCATTCGTAGATCATGTTAACTAGTATCAGTTCGGTCAACTATTGATGTCCCTGCCAAATTTCTTGATAAGATTTAAAGCGCTTGAAACAACAGCCTGGCAATTTGCCCTCGTGCAATAAACAGAGATCAATAATGCACGTGATGCTTATTCCGGATTCCTTCTGTGGAAGGAAATAGAAAGACTGGTCATCTGTGGCAAACTTCTCCTTCCTGTTCCTGTCACTTAACACCCCCCACCCCCATATGATGAAATGCGTCTTTCCTTTTTCCTATAAGGGAAAAATCCGTACGGCAGCAGCTCTTCTCCAACCCCGCCAAGCTCACTTTGCCTGCTTCATATGTGGTGGAGATGACTATATAGGAAATGCAGGGATATTTTCCCCTGTAGCTTACTTGCTTACCTTTACTTGGCAGGAAGGAGTCCTGGAGTCTGACATTTGTCAGGTTGCTGAGGAAGGGAAAGCTTAAAACGTAAGAGTAAAATACATCGTGGTGTTAAGAGATTAGAAATAGTTCAATGTGGAAAATGCATAATTTTATTTGGTGGGTTTTTTAAAGACAGACCGGACAATTCTGGAAAGTAAAAGGAGAGGGTGTTCTTGGCTTTGGGGCTAGAGGGCAGTAAAGAGTTCGGAAATTCCTTTTAAGGAGGAGGCACTCGTCCAAAAACTGTTTGAAAACAACACAACAAAACCCATTAAAATAAAACTGCCATCCTGACAAAAGTGACAGCCTTCTAAATATGTTCTTTGCTGGTAAACGTATCGTTTTAGTATCCAATACTAGTTTTATAACTGATATTATCCACAAGTTAACTAAACCACAACATTAAAAATATGAGAGAAGTTGGTGTGTCGTGCGTATACAGAAACAAATAGTATAACATTCTTCTCTCAGGATTCGTTCAGTGGGGTTGCATGGGCATAGCTGAAGTAAAGAAAGCAGAATTGGGTTGAGTATTTTAATGAATTAATAAATAGTTCTGAACTAATTTTTCAAGAGGCTTGCTTGATTCATTCTATGTTGCATTGGTCTTTCTTTCCCACATACATAGAAACAAATTGATTTAAAACAAATATACATATACAGAATATTATAAGTATATAGAAAGTTATCATGATTAAAATATCTTTGTTTGGATAATGGTCCCTCTTCTTGCATGTTCTAAGTATAAGCATAGCTTGATCTGGAGAGTGGAATAATGAAAGCCTACAGTAATTAAATGTCTTGACAAGCCAGATCTCTTTGTGTATCACAATGTGGACTTTTCTGGCAGTTTAGGAACATTTCATTCTTTTTGAAGTGATGCAATATGAACTTTGCATGATTTCAACTAGTAACATCCCATATACTCTCTCTTAAAAATGGTATGAAGCATCCGTTGGCAAGATTATATTTCAGTCAGTGCTCTGTGACTGGAAACTAGTTCCAGTTGTTCCTGTAGCAATCATCAAGGAGATAATTTAGGAACTATTATTCTCAAATGAAAGAAGCAACTGCTTAAACTTACCAAATCTAGAAGATATTACTAGGATAAATGTTGCTTTATGTAAAGTTCTACCTGTGATTGTCTTAAGCTATGAAACTGTTTGGTATGTAACTGGCCTAGTTTTTTTGTTTTGGGGTGGAAGAAATTTTGATCTCTGAACCAATAAAAGGACTTATTTTGAACTAATCAGACAGTTTAGATATATAACTTGCAGGTAGAAGTATGACAGGGTAGGTTATCTACCTTATTGCTAGCTTTTAACACTATATGTAATATTTTCTTCACAGGCTAACAGGATAAATTATTACTGTATGTCATGTCTATTGCAGTGCATGTGGTTCTTCTATAACAGATATGCTTGAATAAAAGTGAAATTGACTAGCTAAGGAAACAATGTACATAACTACAGTGTATGTGAATGGAAACTGATATCTTTTACTTTTTTTTTTTGTCCCTTTCATTGCAATTTTTACACTGAAATGACCCCTACTGGTTACAACTATAAGTGTAGAAATTTTTTATTTTTGTGGCTTCATAAACGGCTTAGCTGAGACAAAGCTGACATAGACCCTTTCTGACATAGAAAAACTTTTTCATGTTTTCAGGATCCTACAGTTGTCTTCAGAGACTGATGTTATTTATACCTGCTGCAACTACAGCTACTTCAGTTGATGTCATTTTCTCAAAAAAGCAAAATCAATGTGATCTGCACTTTTGGTGGGACAAAGTAGTTCTGTGGTGTCTCTTCCAATGGAGGAATTTATATTCAGAACTTGCCTCTAATCCTGAAGTATGCTGCTACCAGTAGCATTGGTACTTTAGGAAGTGGATTCTTCTGTATGAATTTGTGCTGAACCAATACATCAGCATGGTGTGAAAATAACCTGTGCTACCTCAAGGTGCCACTTTCTTTGCTGATTTTAATTTAAAAAACAACAAAAATGGTTTGTAGTTTTCACATTTTTTAGGTTGAGGTTAATGCATGTTAGCTAATGCTATTTTTTCCTAATGAAAGCAAAACCTAGGGGAGAAATGAGAATTCTGTATTTATTTCAGAAAGGGACAGGGTATCTAAATTTAATCTTTGGACAATAATGTCTTATGGAGAGCAATTTCTTGCAGCCTCTGTAATGATAACATTAGCCTGTTTATGGCCTTTTAGCACATAAAAGGCCATAAACATATACAAGAGATTGTATATCTTGGTGTGTAGTTTTCTTATGTATTAAGATATCAACATATTAATTTAAAATACTGAGAAATTACTGTTTTTTGAGAGGTTAATTGGACCCAATTAAAATATGAATTTGATCAATCCACTAATAGACTCTGCAGACTAAAAAAAGAAAAAAAGGATCACCAGTGAAAAATCTTCCTTTTGATGCCTTAAGATTAACTTGATAGCTTAGTGAGAACAATTATTGGAAACATTTTATAATATGTAAAGGAGTGAGCAATTGTCTATTTTGATTAAGCTACTTGTGTATAGCAAATGAGTCTCTAATGTAATTGATGCATTAATTATGTTTTCCATTTAGTGCATTTACTTTGGGGAAACAGACTTCTCATACTCTGATTTTTGTTTAGTATTAGAAATCTATGTAGATTGTTTGTTTGAAAGTGATTTTAGGAAATTTTGGTCAACTCAAACTCAGGTATTCTGCTCAGATTATTATACCATGCTCATCACTGTAGTATCTGAATGCCTTCCATTAAATGTGATTAGCATCTGTCACGTGTTGTTCACTCTTCTCCCCAGTGGTAGAAATGTGTGCAATGGAGTGTCTGTTCTGGTGGGGGTTTTTACATATACACATGTTATGCATGTATTAGAGAAAGCCAGGTCAAAGAAAGAGTCTAATGCCAGCTACCCCAAATATATGTTTAAGCACTTAATTATCAAGTGGTTTGCTCTCCAGAGATGAAGACCTGAAACTCCCACTGACTTAACTGGAAGTTGTGGGTACCCTAGACCTCTAAATATAAGGGTACTCCTTCATTTAGCTGCCTAAATATAAAACTAGGTGCCCAGACTTAAAACACCTGAGCTTTAAAATATGGCCTTTTTTTGATTTCAGAATTGTAAAGCATTTTTTTTAACTTGTAGAACTTGAAAATGTTTGACACGAAATACCTTTTCTCCATTTAGCTCCTAATGGAGGTGTATGAACACCACAAAAACTTAATAGTGACTGGTGGGTAAGAGTTCGGGGTGTGGTGTGTGTGGCCTTTTTTTTTTTTTTTTTTTTTTTAGCATGGTTGATTCCTACTATTCCAAGTGAGAACACATGAGCAGCTTGGGGAAGCTTGAACTGTTGCCATTACTGAACTTATTAGTGGGTGTGCATATTCTGACTCCCTATGGCTGTCAGCCTCTCTTCTTTCATAAGGACTACATTCACTGCCTGGATATTTGGCTAGACTTATCAAATTGTTTTGTTAACCAGAGGTGGTTAGTCCTCCATTCTGTTTAGGGACAGCTCTATGGCAGGAGTCTCTTGCTGTGAATGGAGTTTGGAGTTAGAGATGAGGGAGCT